CTGTAAAGCTTCAATGGGTTATAGAACTATCTTGGTACAGAGAGAAATTTAGTGATAGCAATTACTGTCTAGTTGCAGGTGTGGCCAAAAGGATCATAGTACTGCTAAGATGTGTCATATAAGCCAAGCAGGCTTTTCTTTTTTTTTTTTTTTGAGACAGAGTTTCACTCTTGTTACCCAGGCCGGAATGCAATGGCGCGATCTCGGCTCACCACAACCTCCGCCTCCTGGGTTCAGGCAATTCTCCTGCCTCAGCCTCCTGAGTAGCTGGGATTACAGGCACGCGCCACCATGCCCAGCTAATTTTTATGTATTTTTAGTAGAGACGGGGTTTCACCATGTTGACCAGGATGGTCTCGATCTCTTGACCTCGTGATCCACCCGCCTCGGCCTCCCAAAGTGCTGGGATTACAGGCATGAGCAGGCTTTTCTAATCAGCTGCCTCTCCGAACTTTATCCTTGGTCCAAATATCTTCACTCTGAAAGTAAAGCTCCTCACACACCAGACGGGCCAATCTACTGCTGCTCTGTGGCATGTGAAAGTGGCAGATTGTCAGAGTTAAGGGAGTCCTATAGATAAAGTCAAGTCAAATCCATTGCTTGACCAATGAGGAAGCTTCCACAATAAAGTGGAAGAAAAGCCAGCTTAACCCCTCTCCTGTACTGTTAAAAGCTGGGCAGTGCATCCCAAAGACATTTCCTCTGAAACTACCCAAAGTCAGCAGAGCAAAAGCCCCTGCTCATGACAAGGTCACCCAACCCGAACAGATCTACAGCCTTTGCTGTTATTCCACATGTAAGCAGAGGAGAACAAATGGGATCTCCATTTCAGATAGTCAGGAAAATCCAGACACTATGCAGCAGCATTTGGGAGGTGTGGCATCACTTCACGTTGACAGGAGCCACTGGACACATCCAACAAGGAAGTGGGCTGGGAGGCTCTTTTTGAATAAAGGCCCTGAGAAGACCTATGACTGCAAGCAAGGTAAGGGGCTTGGTAACAATGCAGTCCTATGTTATGGGATGGCAGGAAGTGAGCCCTCATGGCCACAAACACATTCACAGACAGCAGCTACCATCAGGGGTGTCACATGTGCTATGCAGACCAACAGAAATCTCCCAGAAAAGCGCAGTCACCCAGTGCCCCTCCATGCCTTACCATTATATAAGGCCGAGTTTACCACGCCTCCTGCAACAGCTAAGGCCAGGCCAAACTTGCCAATGGACTCAAACACTTTGGCAGCCATGTTTTCTTCTGCTGGACCCTCTCACACCTAAGGGGATAAAAACAAAATAAACAAAATCGAACTTGATGCCAAATCCTCAGAGAAAGCCCTCTCTGACACAAATAGTCACTTTTCAATCTAGCTATTTCCCCATTCCTGAAAGTGCTAAATCATCCATTGAAGGATACCTAATAAATAATGCTCTTGAGCTTGGAAAGTGTATTATTAATTCTTCTGCTTTTTTCCTTTTCAGTTTCTTTTCTTTTTTTTTTTTTTGAGACAGGGTCTTGCTCTGTCACCCAGGCTGGAGTTCAGTGACTCCTCAGCTCACTAAAGCCTGAACCTCCCTGACTCAATCGATCTCACCTCAGCCTCCCAAGTAGCTGGGACCACAGAAGTGTGCCACCATGCCCGGCTAGTTCTGTTCATTTTTGCAGAATGGGGTCTTGCTATGTTGCCCCAGTTGGTCTCGAACTCCTGGGTTCAACTGATCTTCCTGCCTCGGCCTCCTAAGTGTAGGGATTACAAGTGTGAGCCACCATGCCTGGCTGTTTTCTTTTTTTCTTTCTCAATCATTTAAAGTAAGGTGTCTGGGACACTTGGTTCAGTAATGAAAACAAGGCAAGGGCTTGAAATCCATAGAGAACTTAGAACCATACTAAACCACCCTCTCATTTCCTGGACAAGTGGGCCCCCAAAAAGGGGCTCTGTGGCTGGATTGGTGCAATTATGGTTTGAAAAAATAACAAAAAATGTGCTATATGTTGATGCCAACAAAAAAAGTAACAGTAAGAGCTAACACTTAGGTCGTCTAATAAAAGCAATTTATTTACTCCTCACAATTACCCTATGAAGAATATAATTACAGAGGAAACAGAGGCACACAGAGAGGTTACATGAGAAGCCAAGATCGCATAGTTATTAAGTTAGTTATTAAGTGGTAGAACCAGAATTAGAACCCAGAGGTCTAATGCTAGCAAACACAGCTTAACTCCTCATCATACTGCTTCTCAACATCGTGTATTAAGAATGACCTGTTTCTTATGAAAGCAGGAGCTGGAAGACATCCTGGGGCCAATATAATTGAAGAACCTATTTGGGAAAAAGGCTCTAACCAGCTGTACAGTGGCAGTGAGCTCTGGAAGAACTGGGAGGGTGGGGCTGAGGCGGGATGGGCCTGAGCACAGCTGACCTAACTAGAAATCACTCCAGCATCTAACTTTGTAATGCTCCGCCCCGCCGTCGTTGCCCGCTCCAGTTTCAAATCCTCCCTCCCTATTTCCCAGACCTCAACTCCTGAGACTACCTTGATCTCGCCCCGTGCATTAAAATTCTCCTTCTCCGAGGCTGGGATACCCGGCCCTTTCCATTTCTAACAGCTTCTGGATTATTCCTCACCCTGCCCCCATGCACACCTCCCTTACTCTGAGCAATCCCTGGCTCGTCCCGGGCTCAGCTCCTTCTCACTTCCCTCACAAGGCGGACTCACGCACGCACTCTCCTCGCCCAAAGTGCACATCACGGAGCAGAGGAGGACTGCAGAGATGCCCAGAGACCGGCCTTTACCGACCCCTCCATTCTCACCTGCTTCCACTCTGACCTCCACATGAATTCCCCAACCACGCATACTGCGCGTGCGCCGCACAGGTCCTCTTCTGCCCCTCCCTCTTTCCAAGATCCACGCTTTCTATTGGTAAGGAAAGGCGCTGTGAGTTCTGGGAAGAGTGGCTTGGAACCTTACCCCGGTTCCGCGGCTCTTCGCAGATGAACTACAACTCCCAAAAGGCTATGCAGCAGCTGGCCCGCGGAGGAAAGCGTTTTCTCTTTGGTAATAACCGCGAGTCGAGTATGTTGCCGCAAAGCCTTTAGGGGGCTGTAGTTTCCTAGAGATAAATGCACGTGCCTGTGTTGCACGGAGGTTAAGACTGCCGGAAGGTGAGCCTTAGGACTCCGGGAAAGAGGAGGTGGGCGTTCAGCTGGTGCCAAAAATTAGCAGGCGCAAGTTTATAGCTGATGAAAGAATACAGGTGAAACTCTGGAGGAAGTCGTGATGAAAAAACGAAGGGCCATCTTCCTTCCGAAGCCCTGTCTGGAAATGTCCTCAGAGTTACAAGACATTGATTACCAGACCCGGAGAGAACCATCCGTGCTGGAAAACTGAGGCCAACAGATAGGAACGAATTCGTCTGGGGTCATGCACCGAGTGAGAAAAGGGGCTCTGCTTGGACTCCCTGGACTGATTTTAAAGAAACGTTTTATTTGGAAAAGTTGCAAGAATGGTGCAAAAGAACGCACGTTTATCTTTGGCTCAGGTTCATCTATTGTTAACAATTTGCTTCATTTGCTTTATTATTTGTTTCTTACCTCTCCCTTCTACCTCTCTGCTGCCCCACCGCAGTGTGCGTGTGCGGTTTTTTCCAATTTTATTTATTTATTTATTTGAGATAGAGTTTTGCTCTCGTTGCCCAGGCTGGAGTGCAATCGCACAATCTCGGCTCACTGCAACTTCCGCCTCCCGGGTTCAAGCGATTCTCCTGTCTCTGCCTCCTGAGTAGCTGGAATTACAGGCATGCACCACCACGCCTGGCTAATTTTTGGTAATTTGAGAGGGCTCACATGATCCTTCCACCTCAGCCTCCTTGCATCTGGCTGCACAGTGGTTCTAAACTTAAAAAATTATCTTAGGCCAGGTTGCAGTGGCTCATGCCTGTAATCCCAGCACTTTGGGAGGCCGAAGCGGGTGGATCGTTTTAGGTCAGGAGTTCGAGACCAGCCTGGCCAACATGGTGAAATCCTATCTCTACTAAAAATACAAAAATTAGACTGGCATGGTGGCTTGCGCCTGTAATACCAGCTATTCTGAAGGCCGAGGCAAGAGAATCACTTGAACCCTGGAGGTAGAGGTTGCAGTGAGTTAAGACCGTACCACTGCACTCTAGCCTGAGTGACAGAGCAGGACTCCATCTCAAAAAAAACAAAAAACTGCCAGGTATGGTAGCTTGTACCTGTGCTCCCAGCTACTGGGGAGGCTGAGGTGGGAGGATCACTTGACCCAGCAGGGGGAACTTGCAGTGAGCTGAGATTGCACCACCACACTCCAGCCTGGGCAACAGAGCAAGACTCTGTCTAAAAATAGACTCCGCCTAAAAATATATATATATTGACCGAGTGCGGTGGCTCACGCCTGTCATCCCAGCCCTTTGGGAGGCCAAGGCCAGCGGATCACCTGAGGTCGGGAGTTTGAGACCAGCCTGACTAACATAGAGAAACCCCATCTCTATTAAAACAAACACAAAATTAGCTGGGCGTGGTGGTGCATGCCTGTAATCCCAGCTACTCAGGAGGCTGAGGGAGGAGAATCACCTGAACTCGGGAGGCGGTGGTTGCAGGGAGCTGAGATGATGCCGTTGCACTCCAGCCTGGGCAACAAGAGTGAAACTCTGTCTCAAAAAAAAAAAAAAAAAATATATATATATATATATATATATATACACACACACACAATTTTATTTTGTATATACATAATTGTATATAGATATGGTGTACATGTGATATTTTGATACATGATACAATGTGTAATAATCAAATCAATATTTAGGATACCCATTACCTTAAATATTATTTCTTTGTGTCCAGAACATTTCAAATAAATCTTCTATTTGAAATCTACTATCTATCTAAATACACAGTAAATTACTGTTAACTCTAGTCATTCTAATGTGCCATCAAACACTAGAACTTATTCTATCTAACTGTATGTTTATTGTTGTTGTATTTTACACACTATGGCGACTTTTACTGCCCTCAAGAGAAACTCCAGGCCACCTGCTTCACCGACCCTCCTGTAGGACCAAAGGAAACACCCAGAGGGCAAAAGAAAAAGGAGGCTCAAACCAACAGGGAGCCAGCCCCACTGCAAGCCAGACTACAGCTAACTCGTGCCCTCCACGCTCAGGCGTGGCAGCCCTGGCCAGGCCAAGCAGGATGACAGTGAATGCATTCTGAACGTGTGGTAATCAGGTCTCCTGTGGCGTGCTGGGAGAGTGTGGACAGGGGCCGAGATGATGAGCTATGCGCTGTGGAAGGGAATAGGGGAAGCAGAAGGGCACGAACAGAAGTGCCAGAGGGAGAGGCCAGGCTCTCAGGAAGCAGCCGGCATGGGCCACGCGGGAGCCGGCTGCAGGCAGGGGAGCAGGGAGGCCCTCACTCCTCCTTCTTGTCAGTGGGACCATCTGCTGCAGCCTGCAGCTTTGTGTGCCCCTCCAGCAGGGTCGTACTCCTTGGTGAGGCCCTCAGACTGCTTCCACATGGCCAGAGCCTGGTTTTCAGCTTGCTCTAGTTTTTGCTTAGTGCTGGCCAGCTTTTCAGGTCAGCCTTCAGGCTCCTGTTCTCTCCCTCCAACTTCACCTCAGATGTCCAACTTGCCTCCGTCAATAGCAGCTCCCTTTTTTTTTTTTTTGAGATGGAGTTTCGCTCTTGTTGCCCAGTCTGCAGTGCAATGGCTCGATCTCTGCTCACTGCGACCTCTGCCTCCCAGGTTCAAGCAATTCTCCTGCCCTGAGCCTCCTGAGTAGCTGGGATTACAGGCATGTGCCACCAGGCCTGGCTAATTTTGTATTTTTAGTAGAGGTGGGGTTTCTCCATGTTGGTTAGGCTGGTCTCGAACTCCCAACTTCAGGTGATCTGACTGCCTCAGCCTCCCAAAGTGCTGGTATTACAGGTGTGAGCCACCATGCCTGGCCAGCAGCTCCCTTCTTGAGCTTGTCATTCTCCTCCCTGTACTTCTTGGCTGCCTCACTAGCACTCTGCCTCACTGCTTTTTAAAGGCTTCTTCGGAGTCCAGCCTGCTGCGAGATAGTGTCTAAGCAAGAAATACAGCAGCAAGGAAAAGCCAGCAATGTAGAGATTCCTCTGGGCATGGAAAAGCTTCATGTGGAGTGTTCCATGGCCCAGAATTTGAGGTTCACCTCCTCAGTCACATGATCATACTTCCAAATCTCATGGGCAGCGTCGATGACCAGCAGCACAAGAATGACAATGAAAACCACAAAGAACGTGTTGCCACAGGACACTACCAACTCTGCCAGCCAGGACTTGAACATCATCTGCCATCTTTTGTGAAAAATGAAGGGAATGCAGAGAAGGAACACAACGAAGACCTCCGCATAGAGGAAGGTGGCAACTGCAGTCCACTGCAGACCCAGCCTGTGGCTAGAAGGTTTCCCACAGGGAGACAGGAGCTTGTTTTCGAGTTTCCCACAGTCAGCCCTAACTGTTTTTACATATTAGCCAACCTCCCCTGCTTCCCAGCCTCTGGTAACTATCATTCTAGTTTTCACCTCCATAAGATCAACTCTTTTAGCCCCCACATAGGAATAAGAACATGAGGGCTGGGCGTGGTGCTCACGTCTGTAATCCCAGCACTTTGGGAGGCCAAGGCCAGAGGATTGCTTTAGCCTAGGAGTTTGAGACTAGCCTGGGCCACAAAGTGAGACCCCATCTCTACAAAACAAAAAGTAGCTGGGTGTGGTGGTATGTACCTGTAGTTCCATCTACTTGTCAGGCCAAGGTGAGAGGATTGCTTGAGCCTGGAAGGTCAAGGCTGCAATGAGCTGTGACTGTGCCACTGCACTGCAACCTGGGTGACAGAGCAAGACCTTGTCTCAAAAAAAAAAAAAAAAAAGGCTTGGTCATTTTAACAATACTAATTCTTCCAATCTACCAATCCATGAACATGAGATATCTTTCCATTTGTTTTCCATTTGTCCTGTCCAGTTTCTTTTGTCAGTGTTTTGTAGTTTTTGTTGTAGAGGTCTTTTTTTTTCCTCTTTGATTAAATTTATTCCTAGGTAGTAGGGTTGCTTTTTTTTTGAGACAGGGTTTCACTCTCATTGCCCAGGATGCAGTGCAATGGCACCATCTTGGCTCACTGCAACCTCCATCTCCCAGGTTCAGCAATTCTCCTGCCTCAGCCTCCCGAGTAGCTGGGATTACAGGCATGCACCACCATGCCTGACTAATGTTTTATATTTTATTTTTAGCAGAAATGGGGTTTCTCCATGTTGGTCAGGCTGGTCTCGAACTCCTAACCTCAGGTGATCCACCCACCTTGGCCTCCCAACCTGATGGGATTACAGGCATGAGCCACAACACCCAGCCAGGGTTGCTTACTTGATTTCTTTCAGCTAATTCATTATTGGTGTACAGAAATGCTAGTTTTTATATATTTATTTTGTATCCTGCAACCTTAGTGAATGTATCCGTTCTAAGAGATTTTTGAAGTGTTTAGATTTCTCTAAAGAGGGACTATTTGACTTCCTTTTTTTTTTTTTTTTTTTTTTTTTTAAGACTAGTCAAGTGCAGTAGTGAGAAGTGGGGAAAGAGTAGAACAAGGAGTTCAATTTGTAACTTACTGTGAGATTGAGATAACTCACTACTTTCGGACTGGCCTGACTTCCTTTGTTCCAATTTGGATGCCTTTTACTTTAATTTCTTTCTCTTGCCTGATTGCTCTGGCTAAGACTTTCAGGACTATGTGGATTAAGAGTGATGGAAGTGGTCATCTTTATCTTCTTCCAGTTCTTAGAGGAAAGGCATTCCTGCATTCCCATACTCAGTATGATGATAGCTGTGGTTTGTCATTTATGGAGTTTGTTAAGTTGAGGTATGTTCCTTCTATGCCTAATTTGTTGAGAATATTTATCATGAAGGATGTTGAATTTTAGCGAAGGCCTTTTCTGCATCTATTGGGATGATCATATGGTTTTTGTCCTTCATTCTGCTGATGTGATGTATCCATGGTTATTGATTTGTGCATATTGAACCATGCTTGCATTTCTGGAGTAAATCCCACTTGATCATGGTGTATTATCCTTTTGATGTGCTTGGAATTGGTTTGCTAGTATTTAGTTGAGGGTTTTTGCATCTATGTTCATCAGGGATATTGGCCTGTTTTCTTTTTTTGTTGTGTTTTTGTCTGATTTTGGTGTCAGGGTAATTCTGGTCTTATAGAGTGAGTTAGGAAGAATTTCTTCCTCTTCAGTTTTTGGAAGAGTTTGAGAAAATTGGTATTATTTCTTCTTTATGAGTTTGGTAGAATTCAGCAGTGAAGCCATCTGGTCCTGGGCTTTTCTGTTTTGGGAGACTTTCTATCACTAATTGAATTCCATTACTCCTTATGCGTCTTTTCAAGTTTTCTGTTTCTTCCTGGTTCAATATTGGTAGATTGCATGTGTCCAGTTATCCATTGTCTTTAGGTTTTCCAATTTATTTGTGTATAGTTTGTTCATAGTAGTCTCTGATGAATTTTAGTGTGTCTCTGGAAACAGTTGTAATGTCTCATTTTTTCTTTTCTTTTTTTTGTTTTTTTTTATCTAATGCCGATTAAACATCTCAGGAGTAATGTCTTATTTCTGACTTTATATATTTGGGTCTCCTCTCTTTTCTTCTTGGTGAGTCTAGCTAGCAGTTTATTGCTTTTGTTTATCCATTGAAACAAATAATGTTTAATTTCATCAATTATTTTTTTTTGTCTCTATTTTGTTTTGCTGTAATCGTTATTATTCTTTTCCTTCCCCTAATTTTCGATTTGGTTTGTTCTTACTTTTCCAGTTCCTTGGGGTGCACTGTTAGGTTTCTTACTTGAAAACTTTCTATTTTTTTGATGTAGGCGCTTACTGCTATCAGTTTCTCTCCTAGCACTGCTTCTGCTGTGTCCTATAGATTTTGCTATGTTGTGTTTCCATTTTCATTTGATTCAAGAAATTTTTTGATACCCTTCTTAATTTGTTCATTGACCCAATAATCATTTCAGAGTATGTTGTTGGCCAGGCACGATGGCTAATGCCTATACTCTCAGCACTTTGGGAGGCTGACTCACGTGGATCACTTGAGGCCAGGAGTTCGAGGCCAGCATGGCCAATGTGGTGAAGCCCCACTCTATTAAAAATACAAAAATTACCCAGGTGTGGTGGTGCACGCCTGTAATCCCAGCTACTTGGGAGGCTGAGGTAGGAGAATCGCCTGAACTCAGGAGATGGAGATTGCAGTGAACTGGGATCACACCACTATTCCAGCGTGGGTGACAGAGTGAGACTCTGTCAAAAAAAAAAGTATGTTAAGTTCCATGTGTTTTTACGGTTTCCAAAGCTTCTCCTTTTATTGAGAAGATACTTGATACGATTTTAATTTTTCAAAAATTTTAAGACTTATTTTGTGTCCTAACATATGGTCTATCGTGGAGAATGTTCCATGTGTTGATAAGAAGATTATATATTCTGGTCGGTCACTGTGGCTCATGCCTGTAATCCCAGCACTTTGGGAGGCCGAGGCGGGTGGATCACAAGGAGATTGAGAATATCTTGGCCAACATTGTGAAACCCCGTCTCTACTAAAAATACAAAAATTGGCCGGGCATGGTGGTGGGTGCCTGTAATCCCAGCTACTCTGGAGGCTGAGGCAGGAGAATTGCTTGAACTAGGAGGCAGAAGTTGCAGAGAGCTGAGATTGCACCAGTGCACTCCAGCCTGGGTGACAAAAGCAAAACTCCGTCTCAAAAACAAAGAAGAAAAAAAAGATTATGTATTCGCAGCTGTTAGATGAAATGTTTGGCAAATGCTCGGTGCATTTGGTCTGGAGTGTAGTTTAAGTCCAGGGTTTGTTTGTTGATTTTCTGTCTAGATGATCTATCCATTACTGAGAGTGGGGTGCTGATGTCCCCAACTATTACTGTATTGGAGTCTATCCATCTATCTATCCATCTAGGAGACAGGGTCTCACTGTCACCCAGGCTGGAGTGCAGTGGCACGATCTGAGCTCACTGCAGCCTTGACTTCTTAGACTCAAGCAATCCTCCCACCGCAGCCTCCCCAGTAGCTAGGACTACAGGTGCATGCCATCATGCCCGGCTAATTTTTTGTACTTTTGTAGAGATGGGGTCTTGCCACGTTGCCCAGGCTGGTCTTGAACTCCTGGGCTCAAGTGATCCTCCCGCCTTGGCCTCCCAAAGTGCTGGGATTACAGGCGCGTGCCACCGTGCCTGGCCTATCTCTTCCTTTAGACCTAATAATATTTGCTTTATATACCTGGATGCTCCAGTGTTGGCTGCATGTATATTCAGAACTGTTATACCCTCTTGCTGAATTGATCTTTTAATGATTATATAATGACCTTCTTTGGTTTTTTTCTCAGTGTTTCTAACTTAAAGTCTGTTTTATTTGATATAATTATAGCTATTTCTGCTTGCTTTTGTTTTCCACTTGCATGGAATATCTTTTTTCATTCCTTCACTTTCATTCTAAATATGTCTTTACAGGTGAAGTGAGTATTTTTATAGGCAGCATATAGTGGCATCATTTTAAAAAACCCATTCAGCCAGACTATATCTTTAAAGTGAGGGATTTAGCCTGCTTACATCAAGGTTATTATTATATGTGAGGACTTATTCCTGTCATTTTTGTTGTTTTCTGGTTGTTCTGTATATCTGTTGTTTCTTTCTTTCTCTCTTACTGTATATCACTGCAGTTTGGTGGTTTTCTGTAGTGCTAATGTTTGAGTCTTTTCTGCTTCTCATTCAGGTATCTACTCCACTAGTGAGTTTTATACTTGCATGCGTTTTGATGATGGTAGATATTATCGTTTTGCTTCTAGATGTAGGATTCCATTAAGAATTTATTGTATTACCTGTCTAGAGGTAATTAATTCTCCCAGTTTTTGCTTGTCTGGGAAAGACTTTATTTCTCCTTTATTTTTGAAGGATAAGTTTGTTGGGTATAGTAGTATTCTTGACTGGAAGTTCCCCCCTCCCCCACTTTCAGCACTTCAAATAGATCATTCCATTCTCTTCTGGTTTGCTAAGTTTCTGCTGAGAAATCTGCTGTTAGTCCAGTGGGGATTTCCTTTTATGTGAGTTGATGCTTTTCTCTTGCTAAATATATGTATTTGAGATGGGGTCTTGCTCTGTTGCCCATGCTGGAGTGCAGCAGTTTGATCATGGCTCAGTGCAGCCTTGACTACTTGGGCTCAAGAGATTCTTCCACCTCAGCTTCCTGAGCAGGTACTGCCACCATGAGTGGCTAATTTTTACATTATTTATAGAGATGAAGTCTCACTATGTTACCCAAGCTGGTCATAAACTCCTGGGCTCAAGGGATCCCCCTTCCTTGGCCTCCCAAAATGCTGGAATCATAGGTGTGACTTACCATGCCTGGCCTGCTCTTGCTGTTTGCAGAATTCTCTGTTTTTGACTGAATATATTTGAGAATCTAAGCTTCT